GTATTGCGTGTGGTTGGATGCCCATTTTCCCACACCAAGACACAAATCTATTCCAGTTTGCCAGGTAAGTTCTTGTAGTTTGTCTTCTACTGTTCAACAGAACTGTCTTCGCTGCCTTTGAACAAAGTTGCTCTTCTACTCTGAACCAGCTATTTGCCACACTGTCAGGTGGAGGGTCTCTGGTCTGGGGTGTAGCAGAGAACCCTGGTTCTGGGGGAGGAGGTCTGGGAAGAGTGGTAAGGGACATTGTGGTAATAGAGACATCCTGTGAAGGAATGGGTACCACGGCTGTCTTGCCTAAGCTGGTGCTAAGAGTATGACTTGGGCTAAGTCTTCTCTGATTTTCTGTATTACTCTTGGAATAAGTACCGTTGGTGGTAACGCATAGAGGAGAGGCATTTCCCAATGGATTAACAGTGCATCTACAAGTGAGCCTTTGCCCATGCCTCCCCTGGAGCAGTAAAGGTGACACTTCCTGTTCCTGTAGGTCACGAAGAGATCTATTTGTGGCGATCCCCAAGCCCGGAAGATGTTGTCCAGGACATCGGGGTGGATTTCCCACTCGTGGTCTTGAGGGAAAAATCTGCTGAGAGCATCCGCCATGACGTTGCTCATGCCTGGTATGTAGGATGCTACCAGAGTGATGCGGTTTCTTACACACCAGTTCTATAAGCAGACTGCCTGTGTGCAAAGTAATCAGGATCAAGCTCCTTCTTGTCAATTGACATAATACATAGTCACTATGTTGTCTGTAAGCACTCGGATGGTTTTACCAGTGATGTGCGTGTGGAAGTGTTTGCAAGCAAGGCATACAGCTATTAGCTCTAGAAGTTTGATATGGGAAACTGCCTCCACTGCTGACCATCTGCCTTGCACAGACTTGCCATCGATGTGTGCACCCCAGCCCAAAAGGGAGGCGTTTGTAGTCAACTGGGTCGATGGCTGTTGACATTTGAATGGGACCCCTGCTAGCATATTTCTAGGGTTCAACCATCAATCTAGGGATCTGCAAACTAAAGTAGTTGGGGTTATCCACCTTCTGTGTGGAGTGCTTCGTTGGAGTATACACTGATGCCAGCCAGTGTTGGAGACAGCAAAAGTGAAGTCTCGCATGTTGAACTACGAAGGTGGTGGCCACCATATGCCCCATGAGGTGGAGACAGGTAAGTATGGTGACTGTAGGAGCATGGATGACTACCGTGGCCAACTTGTGTATAACTTGGAAGCACTCTTGAGGTAAGTACACACGGCCTGTGGTGGAATCTAGATGTGCACCTATGAAATGTATACTCTGTGTAGGATCTGGAGACAACTTTTGTTCATTGATTATGAGCCCAAGAGATAGAAATGTCTGCCTGGTTACTGTCACCATGGGTAGTACCTCTTGTCTCAACCTGCCTTTTATAAGGCAGTCATATAAATATGGAAATATGATCACGTCTCTGTGCCATAGGTGAGCCGCTACTATCGCAAGGGTTTTTGAAAACACCCTGGGAGCCGATGCGAGTCCAAATGGTAGCACTCGATATTGAAAATGATCGTCTCCAATAATGAAACAGAGAAAACATCTGTGAGCTGGATGTATCACTATGTGAAAATACGCATCTTGCAAGTCGAGGGCTGCAAACCAATCATTCTTCTCTAGTGACGGTATTATCTTGGAAAGGACCACCATCTTGAACCTTTGATGGTGGAGGTATTTGTTTAACTTCCTGAGGTCGAGGATGGCCCTCCATCCTCTGGTCTTTTCCTCCGTGAAAAAATACCATGAATAGAACCCTCTTCCCCTGAACTGAGGAGAAACAGGCTCTATGGACCCTATGGAGAGCAGACGCTGGGCCTCTTCCTTCAACAGGGTCTTGTGACATGGGTCCCTGAAGAGGGATGGGGTTGGTGGATTTGTGCGTGGTATGGTAGTGAAGGAGATGGTGAGACCGGAGACCACCAGTCGTAATACCCAGCAGTCCGATATAATCACCGCCCATTGATCTTGAAAAGGTCGAAGTTGATGGTGGACAAGGTGAGTGAGTTGTTGTTCCTTCACCATAAGGACTTGTTGCATGCCCTTGACTGAACCATCAAACTTGCTGTTTAGAGTTTTGCTGGTTGGACGTGCAACTGGTCTATGGTGCACTGCTGTTGTTGTTGTCTTTGATAGGGGTAATCGTACCTCTTCTGAAATAGGTAATATCTCTTGCGCTGAAAAGGGAATGTGAAAAGGGAGTGGAGCATCAACCAGCAATTTGTCTGGAGTGGAGGACCTCATCCGTCTTTTCTGCGAACAACTTGTTTTTGTCAAAAGGGAGGTCTTCCACTTTTGTGTGAAGCTCCTTTGGAACTGCTGCGGAAGTAAGCCAAGATGAGCACCTCAAGGCTATTGCAGTTGTGGTGGTGTGGGCTGCTGTGTCCACCACATCCAGCAAGATCTGCAAACTTGCTCTTGCTGCCGTAAACCTCTCCTGCACTAGGGACTTTAAGAGGGGGAGCTTGCTTTCTGATAGGTATTAAAGAAGCTGCAATATCTTTTCATAATTGTCGAAGTTGTGGTTCGATAGCAAGGCGGCATAATTAGAAATACGTAGGATAAGGGTCGCCAAGGAGTACACTTTACTGCTGAATATATCTAGCTTTTTGACATCTGGTGTTGTCTTATACTGCGGTGTTTTGGCCCGCTGTTGTGCTGCATCAACCACCAGCGAATTCAGCTGTGGTGGTTAAAGAGGAATTCTAGATTCTTGGAAGGGACAAAATATTTCTTGTCCACTCTCTTTCAGGTTGGTGGCACTGAAGCTGGTGTCTGCCAGATGATGTCTGCCGCTTCTATTATGGCTTCATCAATAGGGATGGCAACTTTCACGCTCAGCCTTGGGTGCAAATTTTTCAGCAGTCAATGCTGTTTCATTTGTGCTTCTGTCAGGTGGATTTCTTGGGACTGGGCCACACGCTTGAAGAGGTCCTGGAACTGCTTGAAATTGTCTGGTGGGGATGTGTCCGATGGGAAAACCACCTCGTGTGTCGAAGAGGGTGAACGATCAGAAATTGGATATTCAATTTGTTGGTCCTCCGCTTCAGACAACTGTCCGTCTTCCAGGTCTGAGTGTTGTGTTGTGGCCTCCAGACTGTGTATTGAAGAAATCAGGTGACAACCATGGTGTTGCTGTGGTGAAGAGTGCCTGCTGATGGTAGACTGTTGCGTGAGGGTTGTTGATGTCACGGTGATGGGAATGTGAACATGAGGAGTACGGAGACTTATGGCGGTGCTCATAATATTGATCCGATGGGTGAGACGACGAACACCTGGATGATCTACCACTGGTATATCGTCTTTCGTGACTGACACACGGAGAATAGTGATAGCATGGTGACCGTCTATATGGTGAAGAGTAGGATCAATGCCTGTAGTAGTTGCTGTAATGCGGGTGCCCATATGGCGGGTGCCGTCTGTGATAGGACTGGTGTCTTGGGCTGTGGTGCCGGTAGGTATGGTGCAGAGATGAGGCATACATTGGAGGAGAAGGAGAAGGACCTGGTGAAAATCTTGGAGAAGGGGAGTGGGGAGTCCCCCGTGTCCGTGTTTTAACTGGTGCCTTTGCTGGAGGCTCTGCATGAGTCATCGTCGGCTCCGGCTCCTGCTCCGGTGCTGGTGTTTCAGTCAGTTGCGGCACCATGGTGCCGGGGCTGCTTGTGAGTTGGAAGTAGCACATGGCACTGGCACCGGTACTTGTTGTGCTGCCAGTGCCAGGATATTTCCCTCCGGTGCCGCTGCTGCCACGCAGGTATCTGCTACTCCAGCGCCACTTGCAGAGTTAAACGATGCAGTGCTGGTGCCTTTGTAGTACGAGCGCTGCTTGTCGGCACCGAGGCTGCTTTTGGTGGCGAACAAGATCTGTCGGACGCCGGAACCTTCCTCACTTTAGTCCCCAACCCAGGTGCTGAGGGTCACGGGACAGAGCAAGAGAGTCCTGGTTTATCTCTCCCCGTTCTCTGAGGTGGAGCAATCTGGCAGGGGAGATCTTTTTTCTTTTTTCTGCCAGCAGTTCAGGCAAAGGAATTCTCCTCTTCTGAGTCCAACAGCATTCAGCATTCACAACATTGGGATCCAGCGCCTTGTCCAGAAAAGCATTTTGAGGCACATTTCCCTGTCTCAACGAGTGTGGACTGTCATATTTGAGCAGTGCCTGCATTTATGGGGGATGTGGTTCTCCCCTAAACAGCGTATACATGCTGAATGCCCATCCAAAACTGGCATGGGTTCACTGCATTGGGCACACTTTTTAAAACCTGGAGATCCAGGCATGACTGGGTTAAATCTTTTCTTCTTAAAGAAACCTTATTTGTTAATCCCCTGAGGCTGAGCTGTTAGTCAGTGACAGCAGTGGGGGGTGGGTGGGGGAGCAGCGGGAAGCCTCTGCTTCAACAAAGAACTAACAAGACTCCTTCCTTCCTTCCTTTTTTTTTTAAGATAGGAGAAGAACAGTGAACTAACGGGGCTAACTATTTACAATTAACTAATTACAGATCCCCTGAGGGGAAGGAGAACTGCTGAAGGGATGAGAGAATCGAAGCTCCATCTACAGCCAGGGACGATTGAGAGGAACCGACAGGTAAGCCGGGTGCGTGCGAAGATCAAAGAGCGCAAATGGCATGTGCTGCACACCGCGCAGGTGCAACCCAGCTGAAAACAGCTATGCAAAGGCTCCAAGCTGTGGCATCGGGATGAGCCCGACACCATGAGTGGAGAACCCCCGGGGACCACTCGAAGAAGTTCCACTTTCACAATGCTGCACCAAAATGGCCACTGACGTGACTTAGGGCAGCCTAAACACTACTTTAAATTATGCTGACTATAACAAACTCATAGAGACTGCTGTACCAGATGAGGACCAGAAAGTGTGCTTTGTGGTCTCCTCCACTCCACCCACTTCCATTCTGAAATAATTCTTCCCTGACCCCTACCCAGGGAAACAGGCAGTGTGCAGATGACTATATTAGTACTAAACCAAGTAAGGATTCCCCTTCATTTGAACAGACTGGGGAATAGTGATGTGGGTGTTGAGGAAAAAGATGCAGTAATCAACTGAAAATGATGGGGGGAAGGAGGTTAGCAAGAGTCTCAGCTGAGCAGACAAAGAAAAAACTAGATTTCAAAAATATTATGAAGGAAGAAGTGATAGGATTTGGATACAGCCTATAAATATGTTGAATGGGAAAAGAGATGAAAATGATGCCCAGTTAATGGGATGCTAATTCTCTGTTTAATTTCCAATTTCATTATGCCTCTTCATCCCAGCATTCAACACTCCCCACTCCTGCATGTTCATTCAGAAGAACAATATATCTAAGTAGACAAGTAAACAATTTAGTCAACTATTTTCTTATATGTGTCACAGAATAAGTGGATATAATTTTCTTAAATTATTAGTTTTACAAATCTATAGTTCACCGAGACCCTAGCTTGCAAGCAAATATTGTATTATCTCCACGCCACCAAAGTCTGTGCCATACAGGGGGCCATAATAGCACAACTACTTACAAAGATAGGGCCTGTTCTGTAGATGAAGTAACAAGGAAATAATAAGAAAGCTCACAGTGTGGGCATGGGGCTGGAGCACCGGCACAGATTCCCCAATGCTGGGGGGAAGGGGAGCCCGAGCCTCAAGGGCCAGATCCAGGCAAGCTGGGGGCCAGATCTGGCCCCTGGACCTTAAATTCCCTACTCTTGCTTTAGAGATGATCATAATGGATCTGGATCCGTAAAATCTACTAATGAGAGTCCACAGACCTTTACAAAAGCCTCACAGAATTTGGCCCAATTGGCAATGATGATAGGCTGGGACATTGCTAGTATATTTTTAATTAAAGTAAAAATGGAATGTATTCAAAATTGGAAAACAACAATATATATAGCTTCTTTGTTAAGAAAAGGAGATACGATATGTACATGATTGTAGTTTTCAAGCTTCATAAAATGTAAAAAAATCAGTTACTCTGTTTTATACAATTTACCTCATGTTTTTCCACCCTAACTTCATCAAAAATATTGACATATATATTGTCTTTTATTTTAGACAATCCTGAAAAGCTATAATCATGTCCTGGTGATCTGAAATTAAGAACAGACTCTTTTAGCTTTAATCAAATATTGTATATTGGAGAGCTTTATCATTTTTAAAAAAACAAGACAATCACTTTTGTCAGTAATTTACTTCAGATATTGCAGAGCATAAACATTTTTTTAAAAGGAAAACTAAATTGGTATGTTTGCTATTAAAATAGAGAGCAAATTACACTCCAGTTTAACTCTGCAGACTTTGAAGGAGTTATTCATCTGGGATGAATTTGACCCTATATATTTTATTTCTCTAATTACTGTGTCAATACATGTTTAGTCACATAAATTGTGCCCGATCCTCAGCTAGCTGTGTTTCCACTGACTTCTATCTCATATTTATTAAATTATGTTTAATAAATTCTCCACTCTCACATATTTCAAATCACCGACTGTATGAAAGCTCACATAAAGGAACAGAAGATACTAGAGGCCGATCTCAAGTTCTTTCAAGTGGGAAACAGATGGGCTACATCTACACTGGCCCCTTTTCCGGAAGGGGCATGTAAATTTCACGAGTCGTCGTAGGGAAATCCGCGGGGGATTTAAATATCCCCCGCGGCATTTAAATAAAAATGTCCGCCGCTTTTTTCCGGCTTTTAAAAAAGCCGGAAAAGAGCGTCTAGACTGGCCCCGATCCTCCGGAAAAAGTGCCCTTTTCCGGAGGCTCTTATTCTTACTTCATTATTCAAACTGAGTTCAAACAAGCTAAGTGGCCACTGGATGATTGAATCTTTTAGTCACTACTGACTTAGCTAGTTTCAAAACATCACCTAGAGATGAAAAATAACATCCTATCCCAAACCAATATTATCCAATTCCTTATGTCCTGAGCCATAATTTCTTAACCTTGTGGTCATGAATATGTCTAAGAGGGTTGCAGTCAACCTCCTTTTCCATATGACCAGATGAGAGGGAAGTCCCAAAACTTTTTTCTGTTGAAATATGGGCAATATTATGGAAGAGATTGAGAACCATTACCCTAAACCAATGGTTTTCAATCTGTGTTCCCTGGGGGTCTGCAGACTACTTTTAAGATTTCCAAAGAGTTCACATCTCTATTCTGAATTTTTAGAGGTCCACAGATGAAATAAACTTGAAAACCATTGTCCTAAACTAGCCAATCCTCTTAGTCCATCTGTAACTCTTACACACAGATATAAAAAGCCGGATAAATTCAGCAAGCTAAATGAAAACATTTAGAATACTTTTAAAATAAAATATAAACATGGAAAACTTTCCATGAAAAACATGGAATAGCTTCATTGGAGTGTTCAAGTGCTTTTGTTTTATTGTACATTTTTCATGGAGAAATATATGGCCAACTTACATAAAATCCACTTGAAGTTCTTCATTCCAGCATGGATGAGACCCCTCTGCAGTGCTAGTTTGATAAATTGTGTGCTGGAAAGAAACTTCTACAAATGGATGTACAGTCACCTAAAAACAAAAATCATAGATTTTATTACATTAGTACGGCTTTGTCTTATTTCCACATCATCTTATAGAATCATAAAAACACATATTCCTGCGCATCCAGAAATATAATTTATGCTATCATGTGCCAAAAGTGTCCGTCTGCTATGTACATTGGACAAACGTCTCAGACACTTCGCCAAAGGATCAATGCCCACAAAACAGATATTAGACAGGATCACAAAGAAAAAACAGTTTCTTGCCATTTCAACCAGCAAGGACATTGTCTCAATGACTTGATTACCTGCATTCTGCTTCAAAGGCCTTTTAAGACTACACTTGAAAGAGAAACCTCTGAACTGTCATTCATGCTTAAATTAGACACTTTACACTTAAGTTTGAATAAAGACTCTAATTATCTTACCCATTACAAAGATAGCTTCCCCAATTATCACCTCTAATACCATTAGCTCACAGACATTTACCTCCCCTTCCCCATCCCCCTTCTGTTCTGAAATTTGATTTGTCCTTTTCATATGTGTTCATTTTTTTAATTGTATCCTTTGGTATATATGGTTGTGCCAATTTTCTTCCACTATTTGATCTGAGGAAGTGGGTCTGGCCCACGAAAGCTCATCACCTAATAAACCATCTTGCTAGTCTTTAAAGTGCTACATAGTCCTGTTTTTTGTTTCATAAAAATGTAGAGACATCAAGTCCAGCTCCCTGTGCTGAGGCAGAACCAAGTAAACCCCTAGAATATTGCTGACAGCTGTTTGTCTAACCCATTCTTAAAAACCTCCAATAACGGGAATTCCGCAACCTCTCTTGGCAACCTATTCCAGAATTTAACTACCTTTATAAAGTTTTCTCTAATATCTAACATAAATCTCCCTTGCTGTAGATAAAGGCAATTACTTCTTGTCCTCCCTTCAGTGGATATGGAGAAAAATTGACCACCATCCTCTTTGTAACAGTTCTTAACATATTTGTAGACAGTTATCTGATATTCTTCCCCTTGCCTATCTTCTTTTCTCAAGACTAAGCCCAGGTTTTTTTTTAAAGGTCAGGTTTTCTATGCCTTTTATCACTTTTGTTTCTTTCTGGACTTTCTCCAGTTCATGCAGTCATTCATAAAGTGTGGCACCGGGGACATACCTACCCATACACAAAACATGTACCCACACCAGGCATTACAAAGTTTGGAGCACCAAACTGCCCCAAATGTTATGGTGCCCTATACAGCTGGGTGCTGCATATGGGCTCTGATCGACCCCAGCCACCCCATTCTATAGTCTGTACACAGCCTCTGTTCATCAGGTAGTGGCGAACAGCCAGAGCATGAGCTGGAGGACTCAAAGGGTAGCTACACATCCAATGGCTGGTGAGAAGTGGTGGTTTTCCCTTCAAAGAGCCACTTCTCTCTGACTGCATGTGGCTGCCTTCTGCACCTCCAGAGTGTGCTGGCCTGTGCTTGTGCCGCTCGCTGCCACCTGTGCATCCCACCTGCTCCCCTGAGGCGGCAGGTAAGCTATTCTCCCTGCCCTGTTCCAAGATTGTTAACTCTCCCAGAGTCCAGCCTGTCCAATTCATTTGGCAACCCTAGCTCCTCCCCACCACAGCTCCCTCCACACATCCTCCCTTTCAGAGCAGCCATTCCTCCCAGGGTGGGTGGGATATGGTACTGGGCTGCATTGGTAGGGATGGACCTGTGAGGAACCTGAATTGGACACAGCACCAGTGCTCCCTGTAAGCTGAGTACCTTGACAGCCACCCAGGAGAGTTTCATACGCTGCCCTGCTGATTAGCAGAGTGCCCTCAGCTAGTAGCATGTGTATCTACTGGTGATGCACATCCACTCATGCCTCAGTGTACATAACAAAATTTATTCCACATGTGGATGGAAAAAAATTAGAAGGAACATTACACAGCACTCCAACTGAGGCCTCACAAAGACCAAGTATATCAGACAATTACTTCCTGTGTCTTACATAATTCCTGTTAAACACACCCCAGAGTAATATTAGTCTTTTTTGCAACTGCATCATATTGTTGGCTCATATTCTATTTGTGATCCACAATAACCCACAGATTCTTCTCAGCATTACTCCCAAGTTATTCTCCTTTTTATTGTTGTACATTTGATTTTTTTTCTTCCTAAATATAGTACTTAGCACTTGTCTTTGTTGAATGTAATCTTGTTGATTTCATATCTTCTCTTGACATTAATGCTCTATGAGACTTAGGAAAGGTCAGATTTTGATTGATAAATGTCAGTAAATGTCAATTTCACCATACACCCAGAAGCCAGTGAAAAACTGTTTCTATCAGTAATATAATTTTAAAGGTAGACAAAGAAAAATGTTGCTTAAGAACTTAGAGTTTGATTTAAGGATACTTTGTACATTTTGACATGTGATGTTAATAGTGTGTGTTTAAGGGTTTTAAAAACTTATTTTTTTATTCCCAGTCCCTGTTATTAAATAATTATTGTCTAACCCACCATAAATTTGCACACTTGTTAAAATTTAAACAGTAAAAATAAAAAAATTACCTAAAACTCATAATTTTGCAGAGGTGTGAAAATTTAAATGGATGCAAATAAAAAAGACTTAAAATAAATATCAACATTAGCCATTAAAATTACTTAAAAAAAAGTTTAATCCTGTCAAACCTAG